TGATGGGTTCAGGGTTTAGGGCTTAGGGGTTTAAAGGCTTGGGGGGGTTATAGCTTAGTAGTCCAGTATCCTAGGGGAACTAAAGGTTAACCTTTGGGCTTCTACGGGAATCAGCATACGCCCAAAAAGGTACAAGGTTACCTACTCTACTACTAGGACAGAAACCCTAAACCCTAAACCCTAAACCCTAAACCGCGTGTAAAGCTTTCCAAGTCAGCTACCAGATTCAGCTGGGTGAGATTCTGGAGGCCATGAAAGACACCGGCCGTGATGCTTTCGAGAGCGTTGTTCCTCACTTCTGACTTTTTAGGGTTTAGGGTTTAGGGTTAACCCTAAACCCAAAACCCTGAAGCCTGAACCCTAAACCCAGAACCCAACACCCTAAACCCTGAAGGGCCTGTAGGGTTTAGGGTTTACGGTCTTTAGGCCAAGTTTGGCCCTTAGGGTTTAGGGCTTCGGGGTTTAGGGCTTCGGGGTTTAGGATTCAGGGTTTAGGATTCAGGGTTTAGGGTTTACGGGTTTCGGGTTTAGGGTTTAGGGCGGTGTTCCTCACTTCTGGTTTGATCAACGAACCGCCCTTCCATCACAGAGATTGCAACCCCAACGTGGTGTGAACGCCCTTGACGAAGCTCGTCCTCTATTTTCTGTGATCTACATGAGCCCAAACACGCACCCAGACCCTATAAAGCGCCCCTTTTCAAAAAAAAAAAAAAGTAAAAGGCCCACCCCAAAATGAAAGAAAAACCCAAAACCCTAAACCCTATAAGAAGCCCTCACAAAACTAGAAACCCCTAAACCCCCCCCCCCCACTCAGGCATCTAAGGCTCTGGAGCATCAGCCCTAAACCCGAAACCCTAAAATCCCTGCTAAGGCTGGGGGTTTAGGGTTTAGGGTTTAGGGTTTAGGGTTTAGGGTTTAGGGTTTAGGGTAGTGCTAATCTAAGGTTGAAACCATGGGCCCCTAGTATGGGCCCTCAGCCCTGGGATCCTTATACACCTACTATATACCCTATATGTACCCTTAAGGGTCCCTAGGGTTCATATTAGGGGCCCATACTTCGAACCGTAGACTGCTAAGGCTGCCCAGGCTCTGGAGCATGAACCCTAAACCCTAAACCCTAAAACCCTCAAACCCTAAACCCCAAAACCCCTACCTTAAGAACCCAAAACCTACTTTTTTGTAGGGTTTAGGGTTTAGGGTTTAGGGTTTAGGGTTTAGGGTTTAGGGTTAAACCCCAAACTGCTAAGGCTGCAAAGGCTCTGGAGCATCAGCCCATCCAAGTGGCTGAGGCCCACAAAAACCTGGGTTGCTCTTTATTACCTTGCTAAAACTATAACTTTTAGTACCCCTAATATCAAACAAGGCTAATCCTAAAAGTGATAAAGCTATAAAGTGACTGTCAAGCTCAACCAAGAAACCTCCGCCGGGAGGCTGTGGAGTTGGAAGCTCTCCATCCGGAGGAACCGCAGCTCCTGGTGCCTGGGGTGTTAGGGGTGTTAGGGGTGTTAGGGGTGTTAGGGGTGTTAGGTGTTAGGGGTGTTAGGGGTGTTAGGGGTGTTAGGGGTGTTAGGGGTGTTAGGGGTGTTAGGGGTGTTAGGGGTTTAGGGGTGTTAGGGGTGTTAGGGGTGTTAGGGGTTTAGGGGTCACGGTTTAGGGGTTTAAGGGCTTTAGGGGTTAGGGTTTAGAGCTTTAGGGTTTTAGGGCAAAGAGGGTAATATAGGGACGGGTTTAGGGTTTAGGGTAATTTAATAAAGGGGCCTTCAGCTGATGTAGCATAACCTTTGAGAACCAAACTTTCCTTCTCAACACAATGTTGAAACTACATACTATTGTCAAGAAAGGCTACCTAACCGTTTACCCTTCATCAAAATACGATGCCTCAACTCACAAGCTACTCGCAAGAACGGCCTAGGCCCTAAACCCTAAACCCCGAAACTAAACCCTAAGCCCCTCAACCATAAGCCCAGCTGCGTCGACAAGCCGCGGAGGCCCTCCTGATTCGGCACTTTCCGAAGCGCCGGGCAGGAGATGCAGAAGAGCTGCAAGTTCAGGAGTCCGCTGGCCTGATCCAAGGTTTCGGGTTTAGGATTTAGGGTTTAGGGTTTAGGGTTTAGGATGTAGAACTTCGGGTATAGGTGCAGTGGTGGGCTATGGTTCTTTAACTAAAGGGTAGGACCCTCAAAATAGTAGGTTATTGGCACCACTACATTTTCTTACCCATCCCGTGGAGATTTTATAAAAAAAGTATTTCGTGATTCCTAAGAACAATAAAGTTCGACTGTGTTTGACAAGTAAGAGAAGTGTTGCAGGGTCGATGGCTTCTGGTTTGGGATTGGCTCTCGAAGCCCTGTTCTAAACAATGCACATCTTGCACCCTCTGGTCAGGGAATATCCTTGTTAGTACTGCGACACTCTTTTGCCAATCCTATAAGTACTACTGCTCTTACCAGTAGTAGTCTTGTAGTTTCTAACCCTAAACCCTAAGCCCTAAAACCCTAAAACCCTAAACCCTAAACCGATCTACGTTGCTCAGAAATTGCGAAGTATCCACAAAGGCAGCCTAGGAGCAAGCTGGGCCAGGGTGGCTAAGCGGTTCAGTTGTGCTGCATCATCCAAGTTCACCTCCAGCACGGTGAGGTCGGCAAAGGCTGCCTGTCTCTGTGGTTTAGGGTTTTGGGTTTCGGGTTTTGGATTTGAGCTTCCTGATAACCACCCATGAACCCCTGTAGACCCTTGGCAAACCACCAAGCTCCATAAGCCTAAAGGCTCACTGGCCAGTCGGAGCGCCAGTGCTGAGAATACGGTGATGGTGGTGTGATGATGATGATGATGATGGTGATGATGAAGATGATGAAGATGATGGTCATGATGATGATCATGATGATGGTGGTGACGACAGCGACGACAAAGATGAAGATGGGTATGAAGATGAAGATGAAAACTAAGATGGATATAACGACGAGATGACGGTGATGATGATTGTGATTTGGAGCGACAATGATGATGGCGATGACGATGATGATGGTGGTGATGGTGATGATGATGATGATGATGATGATGATGATGATGATGGCGATGGTGATGGTGATGGTGATGATGGTGATGATGAAGATGATGGTCATGATG